GGGCACCTTCCCACAGGCTGGGGTTTCCCCCACGGGGAAGCACCTCCTCACTCAGCTTGATAATATCCTTAATTATTACATTTGGAAACTGCAGGTGTATCAGCTGCCATTAGACCAACCTTTAAAACCACCAAAAAGGGCTGTTTCCAGGGAGACCGCTGACCTTTAGGGTTACGGACGAGCCGGAGGAAGCGCTGCCTTCCCCGCGTTGAGGCAGAGGCACAGCACTGAGGTCTTAAAGCTGCCCAGGGAGCCACATCCAACCCAAATACACTTACCCCAGCACATCTCCAGCCTTAAAAAAGTAACTTTTAATTAAAATTAGATTTTCTGATCAAATAGAGCACGTTCTTCAAAGAGGAAGCAGCCAGCCTTGCGCGCTAAGCAGTGGCCAAGTCAAATTAGGGCAGAGCACGGCTCCCGCGGCAGGCGGCCTTACGCAGTCCAGAGTCACAGCCCCAAGGGTTTTGTGACTCTGCCAGGGGTGCAGATGTGCCCAACGGAACCTAACCCAGAACATAAACAAGAAACGAGGGGGAGGGCTTAAAGCCTTCCCCTGCCCACCTCCCCAGTACGAAACGTCGCGGATCTTAACAGAAAAGACCACACAAACAGAAAAGACCACACAAACACCCATCCGGGGTCAAAGGGCGGAGCTCTTTAGTACCCAACAACCCCTCCCTGGGCACCAGCCAGTCTTCCCATTTCCTTCCACACATTCCCGTGAGTCACTGCCCTCCTTCTACCTGGGATGGAGGCGTTGGTTTGCCGTCCAGGGCCATTTGCTGCGGCGGCAGATGCCCCAGGGGTGGCACAGGCGTAGTTTTTAACTTCTTGGCGTCCACTTTGGAAGGATGCTCTTCCTCTTTAAAGCCATACTTGGAGAAGTGGGCCACCTGCGTGGGGAGAGAGGGCAGCACGTCAGACCTCGAAGAGAGATTCCGGGCACCTGGTTCTGAACGGCCCGAACATGGAGCGGGTGTAACTGTGTGCCTGCGTGCCCACCTTCTCTGGGAACCTGTCCCAGTGCTCCCCACCCTCTGCGGGAAGAATTCCTTCCTGATGTCCCATCTCCATCTCCCTCTTCCCATTTAAACCCGTTACCCCTTGTCCCATCACTCCCTGCCCTTGGGAAAAGCCCCCCAGCTTTCCTGTAGCCCCCCAGGCACTGGGAGGGGCCCGAAGGAAATACATACTTGGGATATTCTCCTAAATCCCTTCAGAGTTGGAACAAAGACGTTACCTTAAACACCCAGGATCCGGTCTCCGGGCGGTATTCCTTGAATCGGGCGCCCTGCTTCCGAGACACAGCCTCCAGCCTGCCTTCGTAATTCATCTCTGCCAGGCGCTCAGGGCTTTTTATCAGGCAACGAGATGTTTTATCCGTAGGCCAGACCCCGTCCAAGGTAACTTCAG